GGGGGGGTTGTATCGCACCTTTCCATCTGGGGAAGCAAATTCAATTGCAGGAGGAGAAGGAAGCTCTCTGCGATAGAGACCAGCCACTGCCATTGAATCTGCTGCCTTTTGTTGTTCTGGGATTCAAATTTTCCTTCTTCTTGCTCGGATTTCAGAGGCTTTGAGGTTAATTGAAAAATCAGAATGAGAAAAATGAGAGTGAGACTGATTTCTTGAGCAAAGGTCTCTGCTTTGGGCTTCAGCTTAGAAATTCAGCAAATAAATTCTCTTTTTTTGTTATTTTAAAATTTGACAAAGGGACTTGGTTGACCGTTTTTTCCTTTTTATTTGTGGCGGGTAGGTTACTGACCAATCTATTTTGGCCTTCTAGAATTCAAAACTGAAAACTAAGGAAGTCATGTTTACAAGCGACATGTCGTTTTGATACCACAGGTTTGTTGCAATGCACAATACGACAAAAAGAGTGCTCTGCTTGGTGGTCAGCCCAATGTTTTGAGCTGGTTGGGTAATGGGTGGTCATATTATAACTCTCATTGTCAATGAGATGAGACCATATGTCATTTATTAATGGGACCTTGCAAAAACTCAATTCAAACGGCCTTGACTTGGAGAATACGTCTCAGGTTCGAACTTTCATAGATATACATAATAAATAAATAATTCATGGTTTGAATTTTGATAAAAACTCTCTACGACAACAAAGTCAAAAATACATATAGATAGATGTAAATTGTAATGATCAAGAATTTCGTCTGTAAAAAATTAACATTGTATCCTAACATCGGTATTTAAGTTAGCACATGACCCGGTCAGCAGCTTTATCAAGGGGAAACAATCGTCTCTTCACCATGACTCTTCTGCATCATCATGAAGTATTCAACTCTACAATATAGCCTCTCCACAATGCCTCTCTCTTTCTGTAACAAATTAATAAGGGCATCCGAAACGGGAATTGCGAAACGGGTTAGTAAAGAATTCTAAGGAAGAGGAGCGCCAAGATCCTCATCTACCCTATCCTCTTGGCATTTCTTGAGAAGTTGGAGCTGACGCCGTAGGTGCAAAACCTGTGCCAAGCCAGTAGTTAATGTTATGAAATCTTTGAAATGAAAGTAAAGTGTCTGTCAAATTAGCAGCAGAAAGATTAATTTGGGCATGAAAAAAATATTGGAAATCATATACATTGACCAACTTTGCAGAAAAAAACACAACTTTTCTTTCAGGAAATATAGGGAGAAGATATCCAAACTTCAAAAACGTACGTAAACAGTACTGTTAAGTACCAATGAAGTGAGAAGTTGCAGAAAGGATCAAAATACACAAGTTTAAATTTTACCTCTTCTTGAAGCAAAGTAGGAAGATTCTTAGTGGAAACAAGGTTATTTATTTCTTTCAAAAGCTTCACCTCCTTAATCCCAGACCATGTCTCCGAGGGTAGGGATAGTAGAAGTGCTGTTAGAACATCATTGCTTGCTGGGTGCATGCCAATGTGATTTATTGAGCCTCCACAAGAGCAACCCGAATTTTTTCGGGATGAAGGAACTAGCATGTCCATCCACTCCTCAGTTTCACCGTTTACCACTGTCCCACTCACCACTGTGACTGGCTTCTCACCATTAGCCTTCAAGCATTTCACACATGTTTCCTGACAGCAGTACATCTCTGAGGAGGCAGACTTCCCAGACAAAATTTGTGCCCCTTGGCAGCAAACACTCGCAGCAATGTTTGGCAAGTTTTCTTCATGACCGGAAATTAAGTTTCTGCAGCATGAATTTGCTGAAGATAATAATTCTGCCACATGTTTAAAAAGGCCAGTTTCCTGCACTTGTCTCAGTACCTCCTCCTGCAAATAAAAATTTGGGTATTGAGATTTTGAGGTGCATAAACTAGAAAAATAGTATGGGGTTCATAAAGGTAAAAACAGAGACAATTCTCTGCAGAAAACAGGGGAAAAGAAGAAACTGAAAAATAAATGAGAAGCTGTAGAAGACTAGATTACCTTGAGGGCAAGCCTAGCTTTTTCCTCTGGGCTTAAGCTTTGGTCACCATCTTCTCGTCTCCGAACTTCTGCAACCCACTTGATGAACTGCCCAAAATTGGATGGGAGCGACATGAAAACAACAGAGAGGACTTCCTGAATGTCTTTCACCTCCTCTGACTTTAAGAGAAGAGGAACATCATCCATTAAGTATTTCGCGATACCAACCCAACTCTTATGTTTACAGCTCTGCAAGAAGCCCCAGATAACTATCTTCAACAAGCATACAATATGTAAGAAATTCCAAGATTTCAGATTACTCTAGTACACAAACATACTTCCAAAAAAAAAACACACTAACACACACAACATATAAGAGAGACGGAATACAATAATGACAATTCAACAAATCAAGAGACAGACTTCTGTTTATCTCTCTGATATGTCCAAAATCAGAAATTGAGGCACTCATCAAGAAACTATCTTCACTATCAGTTAAAGCAACAAAATTAGCTCTTAAGAAGAGAACACGGAAGTGAAAACATCAACCTTGCTTCTCAAATATACTCATCTCTTATAATTCTGAACGAAAGAAAAAATGCACAATGTAGGTAAAACTCATATTGACTACTAGACAGGAAAACGCATATAAACAAATTAATAAGCCTCAAAGAAAGGGAATAAGACATGCACATCAAGACAACCAGAATGTACTGTGTGTTAGTGTAAGGGGGAGTTGGGTTTGGATTTTGAAGTCATAAAATTGCCAAATTCAATCATACCAGGGTATAAAGTTGTCCTGGCTCCCTGTGAGGCCTAGATATAAGCATGAACCTGGGCAGAAAATGGAACTTAAGAAGTGAGAATGTAATTTACATTCAATGCATCTCATAATTTAGCGAAATTATACAGAAATTGCTTCCAACATGCATATCCAATTTAATTGCCATTAGCTGTAATATTCACTGGCACACAAGAATGCATACCCTCTGCGTTGTCCAGTAGATAAGTCAACATTATTCATGGCGTCCCAAAGAATTTTCAGGGGCACCCAATGAGGAGGATACTTAAAACGTGCAACATCCAAAATAAGCGCCATGTCATTTCCAGAATGATAGCCACCAATAGGTGAAAAATGACCAGTACCCGTCTGCAATAAAAATTGGATTCTTACTAGTCAATACCTGATCAATTTTCAAAGAATTGGAGAGTGTGACAGAGGGAAATTTAAGCAGAATCCTTAGATGAGATAATCATCAGTATAGCAGTATAGTAATTCATAAGGCTGAGAATACCAAGCATATCTACAGCTAACTTAAAATAATGGTTCCACCAAAGAAAATGTACCGTAGTATGGCAATTAATAATACCTGTTTGAGAACTGCTCTATCATATGATGAGATCACATGACAATCATCGGAAGTAGAACATCTCATGACATATTTACGAAACTCGTCAATGGTGCTATGATTTGTGCGGAAGGCTTCAACTTTTGCTCCAGCACAGTGAGCCAAGCATACAAGCTTCCCAAATGAGATGCCTCTAGCTTTGACTGTCTCCAAAGGTTCGCAGCAGTCTAACATAGATTCATCAAACCATCTCCAGGGTCCTGTGGGAAAAGTTGAAGTGTATAATACATTTGCATTATAGGATCTAAATGGATGGAAAATCATGGACCAGAAAAGTTTACTACATTCAAGACATTTGCAAACCATGATGGAGTCAATAATGAGAGACAACACCTACTCTAATGTGGCAATGTGTTTATACTCTGTAAAGAATACTAATATTGTATCAGAATTTTAGGAGCAACAAAAGCTCAAATGTTGATGATTAGTAGCACATCAATTGAATATTAAGCATCAAACCCTCAACTAATTAGGTAATGACGCTGATTATAACAGTTAACACAGTTTGAGTATCAACAGTTCAAATCATATCAACATGGACAATTTCAAAATCCATGTAAGCTTAAGTTGTCAAATAAAACTAAAGGATGTGATTAACAAAAAATGGTCAAATATCTATGGATTATACAATAAAACTTATGCCATTCACTAGATGGAAAACAAAATGACACTTTCAAACCCATTAGATGATAAATCTTACCTTTCCATTTCCTTCCAGGATCAATAGCAAGGGCATTCAAGACCATGGACAGGCTCGCCAATCCACAATAAGCCGGCTCCGATTGTGTCTGAAAATAAGAAATTAACCTATAGAAGTTTTCCATAGTTCCATTATGAATGGCTTCGAGAAAAAGTTGCTGCAATTCGAAAAACAACAAAGTTAGGAATAATAAGCAGTAAGGTGACTAACAAACTGGTACAGTTCCAAAACACAGCCTTACTCTTACAGTGAACTGAAAAATTCTTATCAGATTTTGCTTAGCTAAATATTTACCTCTCCTCCATTCTACAACTAAGATTACATCAACTGTAAGTATGACACGGCCTTTCTAATAACACATTTGACCAAAATTTTACACCCAAAAAAAAAAATACGAAAAAAGAAAGGAAAAAAGAAATTCAGATTGTAGTATCAAAATCCTATGAGTTCTTTGTAAAAACAAAAGCATTTTACAGAACAAAGTTGCAAGCTTTAATTCTAAAGCATAACAGAATCACAAACCAACAAATAAAAAATAAAATAAAATAAAATAATGGGGATCATAAAAAATATATGATTTTGAAGGATATATAAGGGAGTGAGTGACGAAGCAACTAAAGCTTGTACCTTTCCTTCTAAAGAGGCAAATTCGACTGCAGGGGGAGAAGGAAGGATTCGCCTGTACAGCCCAGCCATAGCCATTTTTAATTATTTCTTTTTATTTTTTTCAAAATTTAAACCGAGAAAAAGCCAAAAAAGAAAGAAAGAAACATGAGTATGGTTTGGTAGGACTGAGAAAATTGAATTATTGAAATGTCCAAGTCAAAAGGGTTTCTTTCTGTATGTCGGAGGCAAAATGCTTGCTAGGGTGGCCGATTAGGAAGGAACCCGCGTAATTAACTGTTTCAAAATGCGAGGGTTTTAGTCAAAAACGTGGTGGAAAACAACAAATGAGTCCAAAAATAAAACCCTTTGAATAGCAATCAACGAATAGGATAAGATTGTCGTTTTGCTCGAAGGGGGTTGCAAACTTGGCGTCGTTGGCGATGGCGATGAGGATGGCGATGGCTTTTTTATCTTTTTGGCGATGGCTAGCTATGATGACGAGGTGGGGATTACGTAACGTGGGTGGTTTTTATTGGAATTCTTTCTTATTTTCCTTTTTGGATTGAAGATTTTATTTGTTTTTCA